GGGACTGAAAGCATAAGTTGAAATGGTAACATTGAAAATCGGGAATGCCTCTCTTTAAATGAAGATCACTTGAAATTACGCATTCCGTCCGCTTAATATAACCTTTGTCTCTTCCTTCTACAGAGAAACCGCGAAAATTGTTATATGTCCAAGGAAGTTTCACCAGTAGCTTTAACATCAACTTGTTAAGTGAAATGGGTCTGACGGAGTACAATACACAATTACAGTGTTTTAAGTTCATTGGATTTCTAAAAACTCGAGTCTAACAGTCGTCCCCCTATTCCACAGTTTTATGTGCCTCACTGTATTTTTTTCTGAGACTGTAGAAAAATTGAGAATGGCTGCATCGTATTTCTAATGTAAACTCTACATTTACTCTAAGCATGCCTCAGTGTTTACTTAATTTTGTGCCAGTTCCACAGAATATAGATGGAAACAGAATTGAATTGTATTCCCGCCCCCCACTACCACTTCTAGCACAAAAGAAATCCCCCTCCCCTTGCTTCTTCGCTGTAAAATGCAGTTTATCAAGAGCTGATGTATAAGTTAATTTATTGTGGCCTATAAAATTTCCAATTTACACAGAAAATAAACCTTTCTCCATGGAAAATTACCTCACTCATTGTTAAATTACATATATGTACTCCAAGTTATAAGATTCAAGAATATGTTTACTCCAGGTTATAAGATTCAAGATTATGTTTACTCCAGTTTATAAGATTCAAGAATATGTTTACTCCAAGATATAAGATTCAAGAATATGTTTACTCCAGTTTATGAGATTCAAGAATATGTTTACTCCCGTTTATAAGATTCAAGAATATGTTTACTCCAGGTATAAGATCTAAGAATATGTTTACTCCAGGTTATAAGATTCAAGAATATGTTTACTCCAGATTATAAGATTCAAGTCTAATCCTTTGGGGATAACCCTGGGAAAGAGACAAGGTATATTGATCGTGAACCACTTCCGTCGTACAAGAGCAGTGGTTGTTGAACCTTTGTCAACGTATTTTCAAAGTTTCTAAGTTCTTGCTATTTATTAATTTTGGCCCGAGGACACCCATGATATCCTATCTGCTCAATTTGTGGCATAATTGTTGAATGTTAAATTATAATTTGATTATTTCTATTTAGATAATTGAATTTGAACCTCTTAGGAATTCAACTTGAATTTGTTAATTAACAAGATGTAGATATACTTTAATACTAGCTCAAATACTCGGTTCGTTGCCCGTGGAGTTTCAAGTATTTCACAAACTGGGAAACGACCTCTTCCGTCAAAATGGTTAATCTGAGGTATTTTCCCAAAGGCGACTTACCAAGGAACAATTTCCCAAATATGAAAGTTCCTAAGTGACCACTTTCCTAAGGTTATGTTAGGCCTTAGCAAAGGAGGAGGGGGGGGTCGAACTTCGAGGCTATGGGGTCAAGCGCTGCGCTAGGACAGACTTGGAAAGTGCAGCTTGGGAAATTTCACATTTGGGAAGTTGCAGCTTGGGAAAATGCCTATGTGAAAGTGCTTAACAATATCATCTGAGAGATATACCGCCTACCCTTTGTTAATCAAATGCAAATGCAACATTTTAAAGTTTGTTACATCTTTCCAAATAGATTATCAGTCGTTTTGTGAACTGTTGAAGGCATTATTTTTTTTGATGGTCATGTAAAATCTATTTGTACGTTTAAAAATAACATTATATGAATAAAACATTACTTATCATTGTTCTTAACTCAAAGAAATAAATAAACACCTAAATTTTTCCAAACAAAGAGTTAAAAAAAAATCTTTCATAATATAAAATGGGGTTTACATAACACATTACACATTAAACATTACACAGAACACATTACACATTACACAATACACATTACACATTACACATTACGCATTACACATTACACATTACACATTACATATTACACATTACACATTACACATTACACATTACACATTACACATTACACATTACACATTACACATTTATAAAAAGTTCTGAGATCAAAACTTTTGATTAGTAAATCCCGATTATCTTTTGCAATTTACGGATTAGATGAATACTTCTTGGATATCCCATGGTGGTTGATCGTACTCTATTACAGGGATAACTAAATTCGAGGAATCAAACACGTCCTTATTCATTAAACACTTAAAAGTTGTTACTCAAGCTCAAGCGTCGCGTTGTAGATTAGCGCTAATGCAGATCTACAGTTTCATTTAATCCCTCTTGGATATCATATGATGCATCGATCTTACAGATTCGTACTCTTTAGGAAATTTAAGAATTTAAGAAACCGGAGAGGGATCGCTAAAATACTACTGCAGCCGGTACAAAATCTTGAATCCAGAGATAGCTATAACTGAGGGATTTGTCAAATGTAAAGTTATCATTGTGGATATTGTGATAGATTAGCGCTATTTCATCCAAAATTAGCAACCACTGTTCAATGATTGTTCATTTAAAATTCAGTAAATAACTGATTATAATTGAAAAATTTACTGTTATCAATGATGATTTTTTTTTCAGACTAAACCGATCCATGTCGACTCCGGAATAGATTCCCAGACACCTCCCTCCTCTCCCTCTCCTCCTATCCTCAAATCCACTCAGTTCAGATCCTCATCCTCCTCTGCGTCCTCCGCCACCCAGAACCCGTCCTCGGATCGCCGTCCTAAATCCCAATACCTTACGGAACTGCCACCCCGCCCTCCAAGCAAGAAACGCCACTCCTACCATCTAACCGCCTCTGACAATTTACATCACGGTGATGTGACATACGCCGACCTAGACCCCAAGGCATTTATGGTTCCGGCTAACCATGTTCTTCCACCACTTTATGACAAACAAGCATATGCAGACATAATGGTTTCTCAATCTAAAATAGTTTAAAAACAATATTTGTGGATTTGTGAAAATAGCGCATTTTTGACATTTGTATATTTTTTTTCCCATAGAATTCACGTGAGATCTATAAACTTTTTAGAAATTCATGAGTTAAATAATAATATCCTTATGAGCTGATAAATGTAACATGTACCAAGATTTCTTGGAAAAATCTTTTTTTCTGATTTCCCCAAAACTGATTTTTTATTTATATAATGTATTTTATTCTTGTAGATAGTTTTATTCGCGTAATTGTCTAGTCCAAACAGATTTCATTATGGCCCACAGTGCAAAAAAATAAAATAATCAAATTAACATTTTAAATTTGATTATTTTGTTTACACTACATGGAAAAATTGTATTTTTATCTTATTTAAACGTTGTGATGTTTCTATTTTATTATTAAACAGTTTAAAATAAAGATACATTTACGTTTTTGATGTTTGAGAACCTCAGAAATCAATTCACCCAACAAACGTTGCATTAGTATGAGCAGATCCTGCCGCCCTGTAAAGCACACGTCTAACTAAAGAAAATTGCACGTAAGATTGGAATCTTAAATGTTTTCGATCACAATTTAATTGTAGGGCATTAAGTAGAACAAAAATGTTTTGAATATTTGATAAGCATCCGAATAAATTTGTTTTCTAATACTAGAGAAGTTACAAGGTCACAAAGTCACATAAATTTTTCTTTCTCCTTCAGTCTAATTTTCACTGGAAACGACACGCTCCCACCTTTATCACAACTCTCGGTCACAAAGAGGAAGTGGAAAGTAAAAAAGGGAAACAAAAAATAATAAAAAGAAAAAGAGAGAAATTTTTAAAGAAAGTTTATGTTTGTGTAAATTGTCATAAAAATCACTAACATTTTGTGCGTAATATCGAACACCAAAATTACGCGCATTTTAATCGAAATTATGAACAGATTAGTAGAGATCTCGCAGATTTTTTAATCTTACATATTTTACATTCGGTTGGAGACCAGTGGAGACCAGGAACAATGGAATAGGAATACGATATTAAATCTTTACATAAGTGTATTTGATTTGGATACAACCCAAATAGTTTTTTGTAGCTTATCAAATCAATTTGATAGTGAAATGGGTTTATCTAAAATGCACAATTTGTGTGCCTTATGTTGATTAAGCTATTAAACGTCATACTTGAGTTAAAAAGCTGTCTTCTTATTCTAGAGTTTTTTGATTTTCACTGTAATAAGTTGATATAACGAAAGAAAGTTGGGATTTCTTCTTACCGGGTGTAAGAAGGTTTAAAATCATTTGTTCAATACTATAAAGTAGAATAAATGTGTTCTTATATTAATTAACTTTTAACAATCGGGTGTAAACGAAGGCGACTTTAACCTTTCGCAACAGAACAAAAACTGTCCTAAAAGTATATTACTAAAGTTTTTCTATCAGAAGTAGTTTGATTTATCATTCAATAATCTATCCTAATCAAATTTTAATATTTTCATTTAAAAATTGAAATCACTGAAATTGACCTTAAGCATGCAAAACAATAAAATCAAAGTAAAGAAAGATAATTCGTCTTCTTAAAAGATATTGCGGTAAATTGTCGTGAACCGAGTTTTACAGGCATGATTCATTTAATATTCCATATATATAATGAAAAAGAATGATGTTGGCCCAGATTGACTAAAATTCTATATGTTTTAGAAGATATACAAAGAAGGTTTATTTTAAACTTGAAAGCACAGAGCAATCATAGTCTGAAAATTTTGCTGAATTCCGAAAATTGTCTTTCTCCGAAAATGTGCCGTTAACATTTTTGTACAGAAATAATAAATAACAAATAATAAAAATCATTAATAGATAATATTTCTTATAAAACCTTACTTCTATACAAAATGTCCGATAAGCCCGCGAAAATTTCCTTTCCTATATTGCAACACTTTATAATATTTCAACATATAGGGAGGGAAGGCACAACGCAACCGTTTTTCCGTTTTTTGTCTGAACCGTAAATAAATTTGTCAATTATTCAATTCTTTCTAAAATATAGAATGAAATATTCTAAACAATAACAAATGGTATGAAGTGGCTGAAAATTAGAAAATATAATGATTTTTGACACAAAAAAAGGTTAGCTCTCTTCCGAAAAGATGACTTTTTGACCGTCCTGACGGAAAAAAAATATGCGATGTGCCTTTCCTCCCTCATAGAAGTCACAGCTGTGCTAGTTAGTTGAACAGGTTATCTCTTCTTATACACACCCATGTATACAAACTAAAGAATATTCCGGAATTTGCTTGACGAAGATGGAACATTGTTCGCAGTTCCGCCATAATTTTTGCACCATGTGTACTAGAACTATAATACTCATACTTTTTTGTTATCCAAACCAAACTGAAAGTGCCGCCAATGCCAAACTAAAAATAACCGGTTACAACCGTTTGCCATATGGGTTAACCTATTGTGAAAAAGACACTGATTGTGATGAAAATGAGTTCTGTAGGTTCTACGCAGATCTGTCCTACTGCCATATCTGTATCGACTGTTATGGTTACTACAGAAGAAAGGTCCCTGAAGGTGGGTGCGCTAAGAACAGAAGCTTGTGCAGTGACTGTATTCCTGGTTATAGGATTATACAGGGAGAATGTGTTAAGGTAAAAAACAAATAAAATCAAAAATAATTTTTATTCCATGGATTGAAACTGTTTGAAACAAATTGAAACTGCTTTAAACCGATTGAAACTGTTTAAAACAAATTTAGACTGTTTAAAACGAATTGAAACTGTTTGAAACAAATTGAAACTGTTTGAACCATAGAAACTGTTTGCAACAGATTGAAACTATTTTAAACAAATTGAAACTGTTTTAAACAAATTGAAACTATTTTAAACAAATTGAAACTGTTTTAAACAAATTGAAACTACTTGAAACAAATTGAAACTGTTTTTAACAAAATGAAACTGTTTAAAACAGGTTAAAAATGTTTGAAACAGATTTAAATTGTTTGAAATAGATTAAAATTGTTTGAAACAGATTGAAACTGTTTTAAACAAATTGAAACTGCTTGAAACAAATAGAAACTGTTTGAGACAGATTGAAACTGTTTGAAACAGATTAAAATTGTTTGAAACGGATTAAAACTGTTTTAAACAAATTGAAACTGTTTTAAACAGATTGAAACTGTTTGAAACAGATTTAAACTGTTTAAAACTGTTAAAAACAGATTGAAACTGTTTGAAACAGATTTAAACTGTTTAAAACTGTTAAAAACAGATTGAAACTGTTTGAAACAGATGGAAAACGGATAGAAACAGATTGAAACAGATAGAAAAAGATTGACTCCGCTTGAAATTATAAGTTTCTTTTTGTATTTATGCTTTGATCATAAAGGAATGTGAATATTACTATTAAAAGGACTATGGTTGTAATTTTAAGTGATCTTCGGGGATTACCAATTCTCAATGGGGTACCCTTTGTAAAGAGCGATATAAACGTTTACCAAATAAAAAACATCGTTGTTTTTATAGCTTAAAAAGTAGAGTTAAATTCTGACAATTTCTTCGTTTACGCAATTCGCTTTTCAATAAAAACCACATTTGAAAATAATCAATAAATAAAGAGATAAACATGGATATCTGATTCTTTGTTAATTATATATAAACTTTATACATCAGTGTTTGCGAGAATCGGACATACCACACATAATTGAAATTCACCTAAAATGACGGTCAAAGTCCCATTAATAAATGCAGTTTTATGATATTATGATTATATATATATATATACTAGCTCCAATTGTTGCCCGTGGTATTTAAAAAAAATTTGAAAAAAAAATTTTGATTTTTGAAAAATACAAATATTAGATTTGTTTAGCCTATTTTACCCCCAGTGTACCCCTGGGTTCCCTTAAAAAATGTCAGCCCATTCGGTCCAGTCGTTTGGAATATACGAATATCTTGTTTCATTAAATAGATAGAAGATATGATCCGCTCTTGTTTTTGATGCTTATTTGTTTTGATATATTTTTATTATTTACGAAGTTACTATTCGAAGAACAGTTTATAAAGAAGAAAAATTTTCTATAATGAAATGCAATTATTCAACATTAAAGGACAATCCAAATAAAAAATACAAAGTAATCCAAAAGGATTTACAGTTTTAATTTCAAGTGACCCTTTATTTAAAGAGGGACATGTCCGATTTACAAAGGTACCCGTTGTATAAACTACTTGCTGAAGGACCCGGCGTTGCCCGTGGGAAAAAAATATTTGAAAAAATATTTGCAGTTAGTTTTACGTGAAACCATGATCCTGTCTTAATTACACAAAAATCACATTGAACTCGGTTTTACACGTTCATATATTTTACCACATTTTACACACTAGGAAAACCTGTTTTATACAAAATTCGCAGAAATTGTATGAAGTCATTAAACACGTCATAACATTGCTTTATCTCGTCGACCCTTATCTAACTTCTTTATTTAATATCAAAATGAGTTTTAATTTTTGTTTGAACACTTACCTAAAACTATAATTGTCTAATCCTTACCTAAAACTATAATTGTCTAATCCTTACCTAAAACTATAATTGTCTAATCCTTACCTAAAACTATAATTGTCTAATCCTTATGTCCTAATCCTAATTCTTTAAAAGTTTTAAAATTAGAATGAAGAATTTTGCCAGATCAAAAAATGAACGCCTGAAAAATCAAAGGTTTACACAACTATAACTTTAAAATATAATTTTATGAATTTGAAAATTAGAATTTAAGACTTCAAAAACGCAAAAATCAATGAATCTATATATAAATTTGGCTTGTCTGTTTGTATCCAATAAACGTCAAAACGGCTAAACCGATCGGGCCCAAATTTTTTGTGGCACCTCGCATTATTCCAGGGAAGGTTTATGAATGATAAAAATTTTAAAAAAATGTGTTTCAAAGGTTTTTAATTTTGTAAAAAAAATTTTAATTCTTGAAAATCCGCGATTTTTTTTTGAAAAATCTAAAAAATTGAAGCAACTTTTCATAACAGCCTTGATCTATAATTAGTTCAGTTACTTTTGCATTGTTTTTTATTTAGGTTGGTTCTTCCACTCCGCTTTTATCAACTTCTACTAGTTCTCCTGGAGATTTGGCCAACCCTGAAACTATGAAAATAATCCTGTCCTGTGTTGGCCTTGGCACATTTCTATTAGTATGTGCATGTGTGGGGTTGTTTTGTTGTTGGAAGAAGAACAAAAAGAGAGGAAAGCTTGAAAATCATCCAACTTATGAAAACAAAGACGAAAATGACTATGTTCCTGTTATGGTAAAAGAAAACGAACCTCCTACAATCAGTCCTCACAACACTGATCCTTCTGCTCCTTTGCTCATTGATCTTAAACCTCAAACTGATAATCTTCTCAATGATCATCTTCTCAATGATCAACGTGAAATTGAACATGAATCTCTAAGCCAAACTGTGGTCTTTAATCGTCCAATTTATGAAAATCCACAACTCAGAAATTTTACTCAGAACAACGACCTTCCACTACCAAGAAATCCTTCAACGGTAATGGATTAAGAAACCACACTTTGGTTTGATTTTTTCAAAACTTTAAATTATTTAAAGAAAGAGATTAACTAGACAATAAACATGAAAGTTGAGCAAAAGGTGCAGTATTTTAGAGAACATTTTTCAGGATTCATTTGAGCCCATTTTATTTTGTATGATTGTTCAGCAAAGGCGCAAATTAATCTTTAAAATTGCTCTCTTGGTAAACAATTATACACCGTAAAATGTGTCATAGGCCTTAAATGAACCCTGAAAGATTTCTTTTCAATACTGCACTTTCAGCTCAACTGCCATGTCTAGCCAGTCTCTCCCTTTAATGCAAACATGCAAATAAGCATAATATCTAAAACAATATCTAACATTTTAAAATCTTTAGGCAGTTGACAATAATGGCAGACGCATTCAAGTTTGGAACCAGCCTAACTATCATGAGGATAGAGCCATCCGTCCTCGACCTAATGCAAATCTTGCCCCTCGAGAACCACTCCAAGAAGGTGGTCCTCTGTACCCAGATCCTGTATCAAGACGGGTTGGAATGTCCGTCAATCGTGATCCCACCTCTAGGATGGATCCCGAAGCCGAACACAGGGTGGTTTCAATGCCGGATCATATGCCAAATCCCAGGGCGGATCCCTAGGGCGAATCCCAGGGTGGATCCCAGGACGGATCCCAGGATGGATCCTATGCCGAATCCAGTTCCAAATCCCTGGGCGGATGCCAGACTGGATCCTATACCGAATACCATGCTGGATTCTATGCAGAATCCCTGGCTTGATCCTCTGCAGAACCCCAGGCTAGATCCTATGCCGAATCCCAGGTTGGATCCTATGCAGAATTCCAGGCTTGATCCTCTGCAGAACCCCAGGCTAGATCCTATGCCGAATCCCAGGCTGGATCGTATGCCAAATCCCAGGCTGGATCTAAGGGCGGATCCCTCGGCAACTCCCAGGGCGGATCCTAGGCCAGAACCCATGCCGGATCCAGAAACTGATCCCAGGCCAAGTGCTAGGTCGCATAGCGGACGAGGGATAATAGATTTCAATTGTCGCCTTGAATTTCAGTTCTAGTCATTCCTGAAACATTTGCCAAACTTAACATTTACAATCTATTTTTGATTATGCTCATTGTGCAAAAAAATTGTTATAGTCTACTCTATTAAACACGTTTTTATATATAATTTGTATGGCCAAAATTAAAATGGTTTTATAACTTAAATAGTTAATATATGCTCAAATCTAAATACATTTTTTTATCCGACAAAGTAGCTGACGATTGTGACAATCCTACCCTAAAATTATGTTCCTATTTTAAATGCTAAATTCGCCAATTAAATGACTACATTTCATGATTGGAGTTAAGATACTAAAAGGTAGGGCTGCCTGTTTACTAAAAATTAACTCACCACGAACAAAGAAATATCTATCTTCATTTAGAAGATATTTTCAAAAAACGTTTTCAGTGTTTAGATTTTTGTATTCGCCTACTCGAGATCAACATCTACAACAAAACTTATTACATGCATAGAAAGAACAAAAAATTTAGAAAAATCGGTCTCATCGCGGCCACTAGTAAAATGAAGTATTAATTGTTCACTAATTATTTCTAGAGATCCATTGCTAATTGAGGAGCGCGCATGCGCAAAGGTTCAAAAACGTAATTTTATTTCTAGCGCTTCATGTGGCAAATTTATAGGTTTATTTTCGAAACTGAGGTGCAATCAAGAAAGCTTTACGAATATTGCACACCATAGGGCCATTAACAGAGGTCAATATGGTCTTATTTCTAAGAAGTTTACGATTTAATGTTACCCTTTTTTGTCTGATTACCAATTGAGGTGGTGGAGATTACCAATTGAGGAGCGCGCATACCGCAGAACACGTTTAGGTGGCTGTGATTACCAATTTAGGACTTTGTTACTCCCCCCCCCCGCTCGTCGAGTCGCTGAACTACCTACCGCTGGTTCAAATCTTGAATTTGATTTTAAGTTAAAAATTCATGATTATTTGAATCGGTGATTAAGAATTTGAACGAGCGTTAGATAGTTCAGCGAAATCTCCAGTTTATTAAATTTGAAACACATACTGCGTGATAAAAAAAAATACAGATTCTCTGCTCTGTGAAAAACTCTTGAAATGAGAAATATAAAATTTAGAATAGTACAGTGGGAACCATAAAATATTGTAAGAATTGGAGTCTTTTTGCTATTTAAATTAAGCATGAAGTTAGCTAAGAATGTAAATAATTTGAAATTGTTTTTATCCTTAACGACTTTTCATGACAATTAGGAAGAATCGTTCTATGTCTCTATTCTTTATTTTTATTTTACGCCCCACAGCATAAATATTCTTAATTAATCTTCACATGAATTTCTAACCTCAACATTTATTTCATCAAAAAATAAATAATACATTTAGAACATTAAACACAAATAAGGTTATTTAACAAAAAATAACTAATACTGCAAAAATACAATACATGACAAGATATCTTCAAAATATGGTAATTATTAACTAGCTAATTTTGCAGTTAATGTTTTATATGAAAACGTACTAAATATGATAAGTATTTTTTATCATATAAGAATAACTCAGATCATGAGGTAAAAAATCCAAGAATGCGTTTTTCTAATCGCACTGCACAGCTATTTAACACCCTAAGAATTTCGAAATTATTCACATTTTGTTCGAATAAAAAAATGTTAATTTTATTTCATAAAAATTTCTAACATTTTGCTCATTATTTTGACAAAATGTTTTTAATTGAAAAATACTTTTGATAAGTTCGATATTACTACATACAGTTAACCCAGAACTTCGGGAGTCATCGAAAGAGTTTATCAAATGTCGTCTTGATAACTTTTCAATGGGTTTACAACAGGGTTACCCACACGGGATGAGACTTTATAGTTGATTGCACAGAATTTTTTAGTTCGTTTTTATGCAATTAGGGTTCCTTGTTGGCCAAAACTGGCATATTTTTGTGATTAATTGTTCAGTAAACCATCCAATACTTAATCAAATGCAGAAACCAAATATCAAGCTTTAAATTGCTATATTTTTAGAGACTTGGGTCGTCTTTACAGTCTCATCCTTTGTAGATAACCCTTTATCATATTATTTAAAAGAAGCGTCCGCGAAAACCTAATAGGTATTGGATGATAGTTTAAATAGAATCTGTGGACTATGGAGTGTGAAAGTGGGCTGTTAAACAAGATAATAAAATGTGTAGATATTAAAATATTAAGATTAAACATTGTTTTCGTTGGATGATTCATTTCTGGCTTATCCTATATCGTTTGTTGTAGCAAATACAAGAAAAATCGTTAATTGTCTTTTTCACTCTTGCAGATAGAAAAATTCAGGTTTGGAAATCAATGTTCATGTGTCTTTTTATATCCTCATAGTCCTTAACGAAAAGTAGTATTAATAAAAAAAGAAAAATCTTTTCGTTTAATCAACGAATTTGGTCCCAAAATAACTTCTTAAACTTGTATTTTAGATTTATAAAATCTCTGAATAAAATAGTATCATTTAATATTATGGCAGGATTGATATGTTATAAATAGTAAATATGTATCATTTAATATTAATTATTTGTTATCTAGATCTACTTATGTTTATTCTTTGCTCCAAATTAAAGTTTTTTTTTGAAAAAATTAAAGACAAATTCCATTAAAAAAATTTGAGTTTAAATGCTATAAAACAATTTTCCTCTTATTATAAATATATTCTCATGAATTAGATCTTTAAAAACCCCAACTAAGCTCTAACAAGCAGGTCCTGTGATACAATAATACAATTCCATAAAAAAACTGATTGTACAACAGACCGATCAAAAAGGTCCCTATAACAGTATGCACAAACATACTATAAATTCTAAAAATTCTGAAAATTCTAAATGTACGACTGTAGACGTAATTTCCAGTGAAAAACCGTTAAAACCTGCATTTTCTGGGTCGAAATGATAAAAAATACCAATTTGGATATTGATGCAGCAGAGAGAAAGAAAATAATTTAATTTATCTAAGATAGAGAAAGGATTGTAGTTGATCACATAAAGGCTTAAAAAGGCAACGTTGTAAAAGTCGTTAAATATGAGTCCAATTAAATTAACCTTCATTTATGATTTACGTAAAAGAACAAAGGACGTGACAGTACAGTTTGGCAGCTCGGTACAATAAAAGCTCTGATGAAAGGTTGTACACTGTACAGTACAGTACAGTATATAAAAGTACTGATGTAAACTATTCTGAAACGAATTATAAAACATCCAGAATTCTAAACTCTCCTGCAAGACCTGACACCCGTCCGAATAACTGAAAACAAATAATTTTTTAAATTCATATTCTACAGAAAATTTCAACAATTTTTTTTTAAATTTAAGAACCATTCAATGTGTCCATTTTTATTTAACTTGTGAAAAAAGGTTTCTACGAAATAATTTAATAAATTTGAGGGGTCCCTGAAATGCCTACGCCGCGCTAGTTCAAATTTTAATCAACGATTCCTGGAAATTAAGAAATTTGAATGGGTGGTTCAAATTTGAACCGACAGGCGCCGTAGTTTACCGACGTAGCTAAATTTATTAAGTTTGTTCTCTGAGCATTTTAAACAAGAGAAATAAATTAAAAAGTTTTAAAAATATCATGTCCTACATCAATTTCTTAATGTCACAGCTAATTTTTTTTAAGTTCAAGAATTAGCCAATCTTAAACAAAGGATTTAAAATTATAATTTTTTTTACCATTTTTGTGTAAAACTTCTGGTTCGTTATTTTGCCAAAACTTTGTAACTGTATAATTTAATTATGGCATGCTACAATTTTTTTGAAATGTGCAAGTATATCAAAATTCATGCCCCCCCCCCCCCCCGGTCCCTACCCTCTAAAAAAGGCATTTGTGATTTGTGTTACCTGTCTATTAAGATTTATTAACTTCTGTGTTTTCCTGATAACTCTCTGTACAGGTTCAAATAGGTTATTATTAGAAAACACTAGTGGAAGATATAACTCAGTTCCAAACCTATATATATATGAAACTTATTGTTTTATCTACTTTATTATTATTTGAAAGAAAGTTTATTTTCAATATTTTACTATCTTGTTTTTCCTGGTTTCTGCATTTATATTATAAATCTACGTCGCTGAACTATCTTCTGCCGGTTCAAATCGGTTATTTAAATTTGAACCAGCATTAGGCAGATCAAATTCATTAAATTCTGTCCCTCTGGGTTCAATACCTGGATTTGATCATCTCCTGTATATTTTCTAGAGCAGGGTTGGCGGATATTGGAACTGTTTTCCCTATTCCTTTCTTCAATTCACTCATAACAATTTTCTCTAAAATAATAATATAGGATACAGGAGTCGGCATTTATATAAATAAAATTGAGACGACTTTTATATTAAAGTTTACGTGTATTCATGCTGTTTAAAGCTTGGTAGAAATCAAAATTGAAATCGATATTCGTATTCATAGTATTTATATATACAACGACGGGCGACGGCTGAAGAAATTGAGTAGATAAAAAAATGAAATAAATTTATTATTTCCTTTTACCTATAAACGAACAGTAGGAGAAGAGATTTAGCCCAAGAAGTTTAACTTCACATCCGCTTTGAAAATAACTTTTTTTTCTTCAAAATATATAAAATCTATAAAATTGCGGAATAAGAAGTTGACACATATTTTGCCACTATCTTTATCATTATCAACAATTATTAAGTGAGTCTGAGTAAATTGCTCAATTACGTTGTTTCATGTTCTTTGGACTATTTAAAATCATGACTTGAGTCCAATAGTCGTCTTTCCAGAGTTTCATGGGTTCCACTGAAGATAAATGTTTACTTTTATTTGTTTAAGGATTTTATTTGATCAAATCAACCTTCCTTGATTTTAAGCTACCGTCAGGATAGACGACTTCTTTTAACACTTTGTCTTCGCAAAATTGTTCTTTAAAGATTTTTAAACATTTTTTTTTGCAAATTTGTTCTTTAAAGACTTTTATACACTTTTTTTCGCAAACTTGTTCTTTAAAGACTTTTATGCACTTTTTTCGCAAATTTGTTCTCAAAAGACTTTTAAACACTTTTTTGCAAATTTGTTCTTTAAAGCCTTTTGAACACTTTTTTGGCAAATTTGTTCTTTAAAGCCTTTTTAATACTTTTTGTTGTTGTTGCAAATTTCGTTATTTAAAGCTCTATAAACACTTCTTTTCGCAAATGTGTTCTTTAAAGCCTTTTAAACTTTTTTTCCCGCAAATTTGTTGCCATAATTTTATAAAGTTGTAAAATAAAATTATTTTCCTGAGTTTGAATTTGTGAACATTCACACTTTCTAGAGTTCCTTGGAGACGCAGTCTGTACTCAACCACAAGATGGGGTCTATGCAATACATTGTTTATATACTATTGTACCCAACCACAATATAGGGTCTATGCAGTACATAATTAATATACAAATGTACCCAACCACAAGATGGGGGTCTTTACATACATAGTTTATATACAGCTGTACCCAACCACAAGATGGGGTCTATACAGTATATAATTTACATACAACTGTACCCAACCACAAGATGGGGTCTATACAATATATAGTTTACATACAACTTTACCCAACCACAAGATGGGGTCAATAAAGAACATCGTTTATATACAGCTGTACACAACCACGAGATGAGATCTACATATAGTACATAGCTTATATACAGCTGTTCCCAACCATAAGATGGAATCTATATACAGTACATTGCTTATATACAGCTGTTCCCAACCACAAGATGGAATCTATATACAGTACATTGCTTATATACAGCTGTTCCCAACCACAAGATGGGGCCTATTCAGTTCATAATTTACATACAGTTGTACCCAGCCACGAGATGGGATCTTTAAAAATACATAGTTTATAAACAGTTGTAACCAACAACGAGATGGGATTTATATAGTTCATAGTTTATATACAGCTCTGTACCCAACCACAAGATGGGATCTATATGGTACATAGTTTACATACAGTTGTACCCAACCACAAGATGGGATCTACATACAGTACATAGTTTATATACATCTCTACCCAACCATGAAATGGGATCTATATATAGTACATAGTTTGTATACAGTTGTACCCAACCACAAGAGAGGCCTATACAGTACATAGTTTATATAGAGCTGAACCCAACCACGAGATGGGATCTATATAGAGTACATAGTTTATATACAGCTGTACCCAACCACAATATGGGATCTTTAGTAGTACATAGTTTATATACAGCTGTACCCAACCCCAAGATGGGGTCCGTACAGAACGTAGTCTATATACACCTGAACCCCCTATACAGTACATAGTTTATGTACAGCTGTACCCAACCACGAGATGGGATCTATATAGTACATAGTTTATATACAGGTGTACCCAACCACAAGATAGGGTCTTTACAGTACATATTTTATTTACAGCTGTACCCAACCACGGTATTGGGTCTATATAGTACATAGATTATATACAGTTGTACCCAACCACGAGATGGGGTCTATACAGAACATCGTTTATACATAGCTGTACACAACCACGAGATGGGATCTATATATGTACATAGTTTATATACAGTTGTACCCAACCAAGGGATGGGATCTATATATATAGTACATAGTCTATATACAGCTGTACCCAACCACGAGATGGGGTCTATACAGTATATAGTTAAAATATACAGCTGTTCCCAACCACAAGATGGGGTCTATACAGAACATAGTTTATATACAGCTGCACCCAACCACAAGACGGGATCTATATACAGTACATAGTTTTTATACATCTGTACCCAACCACGAGAAGGGGTCTGTACAGTACATAGTGTATACCCAACCGCAAGATGGGATCTATTCTATATAGTACATAGTTTATATACAGTTGTACCCAACTACAAGACGGGATCTATGCAGTTTATATTTTATATATAAAAATTTGTAGGAGGCATTGTTGTTATCAAAGGAATCAAAAATAATTTGCTGGTGACATTTATAAATGTCGTCTTATCACATCAAAACTTTTTCAGTATAACGTTTTTATTGTTATTTTGGGGGCGGACTTTAAAGGGACTACTGCAACTCTATTGCAATAATTTTTTACACTTTTGTTTTAATATTTTATGAACTTTAAAAAAAATTGATTGAAAAAAACGTCAGTTAACTAAGAATCTCAAAACCAAGTTAACTTCACCGTGAGTTCCAAATACAAATTTTAGGCAAATTGGTCAAGGGATTTATGAGTTATGATCGAACATCCAAACAAACAAAAAGAGATTACAACTTCATGTAATATGTAGATATATGACCTTATTTCGCCTATCGGTAGGTTTCTGATCGGGTTTTTAATGCCCGGGACAATATCGGCAGCCACAGGTCGCATCTGAAAAGTGCAGGGCGTTTCAATAAACTTGATAATTCGTAAATAGGCTTACAGGGAGTGCGCGATATTTCAAGTGTTTCTCGTGCAAAGAAGCCAATTTGACCCATTTACAAAGGTACCCTTGAAAGCGTTGTCTCATCAAGCATGAACTATAGACACCAATATTTATCATTTTGAAAATTGTTAAATTTTGGTTTCTCAACAAAAGTGACCTGTGCATTTGTACTGCAGGAAAACGCCTAGAAATTATCACAATTAAACAATTTTAACCCTAATAAAACGATAATAACATCCACATTATTAATCAGATAAATCGTTGTAAATCGGGCATTGTCATGTTTACATGTAGAATGATAAAGCTGCATGCATGATTTATTATTGCATTAATAACTGTAAAACAGCTTTGATATCAAAGACCAAAAATAATTTTACACTTTTAAAAAACTTCTTTATCATAAAAAAACATTCAGTCATTAAGGAAGATAAAAAGACAAAATATAATGTGAAGAGAAGACTAAAATATTGTTTACGTGCCCTTGACATCAATTCATCTGATCAATAATAATAATTTGTTTCTGTTAATTTCTCCAGGTTTCCTGCGTGGAACCACAGTTGAGAATAACCGGTTAATTTACCGGATATCTAATTTAGGTGATATACCAAAGGCATTTACCCAAAGGACAATTTTCCAATTGGTAACTTCCCAAATAGGTATTTTCCCAAGCGCAAACTTCCCAAAGGTTAGGTTAGGCCTTCTAAGTCGCCGCAGGCTGCAATGGGGGGCCGAGTGCTGCGGCTATAGTATGCGGTAGGTGGCCGAGCAATGCGGCTAGTATTCGGAAGGTGGCCAAGCAATGCGGCTATATAAGGTTAGGGGCCGAGCGCTGCAGCTAGGAAAGACTTGCTGCTTGGGAAATTGAACATTTGGGAAGTTGCCGCTTGGAAAAGGCCATTATAGGGGCCGGGATAGTACCTAACATCCTAATTTATACTTGATCAACCAAAGCTTTAAAGGGTCTCTTTGTATATCATGGAGGGTCACTTGAACTTATGCTTACAGTCTCTTTAAATCAAACGGACTGTAAGGGTTTGTTAAAATCAAATATATAAAATATACACTTGATGATTAATATTAATGTCGTCTTCTATTCCGCAGTTTTCTTGTTCTGATTGTAGTACCTGACCTACCTGTATTCTAATATTACTGAGTATTATTTTAGCACTAATCTCAGCTTCACCATCTCCTGATACAACAAGTGGCATTCTAGTCTCAACCTAAACAAAAATTAGACTTTTTAATCAAAATAATAATAATAGTGTGATCATCAGGATTATCAATGATCTATACAGTACATTAAAAAAATACTTTTATCAAACTGTACTCACTGTATATTTTGACTCGTTTTATCTAAAAATCTTAAAATAAAATGGCATCTTGATTTACTTATAAAATCCCTTTCAATGATAAATTTGTTTTACCTTCTGAAGACACTTGTTGAATACAGGTTGCCCGAGGCTGAGATGAAGACCTCCGTTAAGGAAGAGGTCGGTGTGCAAATGTCCAAACTTGATTATGTCCAGGGTCGGCTGACCTCTACAAAAACATTACAGATTGAGCCACCAAACTATTCAAGTTGAGTTAACGGAAATTATAAAAATACAAATTATGAAAAGATTTTCTTCCACAAATCAAACAATAACAAAAAGAGAGTAATAAAATCATATATCATAAAATCATCATAGAAACTAGTATTTAAACAGAGAGTATCCTTGTACAGGGTGTCCCAAAAAACATGGGAATTTAGTGACGAATTCGATAGCGTCTTTGTTATGAATTAGCATTGTAATACCAAATTTCAAAAACCATGATGTCATTATGTCTGCTAGAGTTTATTTTATGAAAAGGGTAAAAGACTGTAAAGATGAGTCTATAATGTCTCCGCAAGATGAACAGTGAAGACTGACAAGTTTACTTTGTTTGAATACTGTAATTTTCTTGTTTTACTAAGTACAACCGTATGCAGTCAAAACATAAACAAACACAATGTTAACATAGCAGACGAAACTTTTACGGATTACAGCTTTCTCAGTAGGTATCATTATACTAAATCAAAGAATTATTTAAAAAGACAATATCTAATTCGTCACTTAATTCCCATGTTTATTGGGACACCCTGTAATTTCAAATGAGTCTACACTTATATGAGTTATATGTAGAGGGGCATCAAAACCACGGTACTCTTTAACTATCCTTATTTGATCAATAATGTAGAATAAATCGTCTTTTTTCTGCCTTAAAAAATGTTGAATTTTAATCTGTTTCCTCCACATAAATTTCTTAACAGAAATGCGCACTTTTGAAGAGGAGTCACAATTGAAAAAAATAAGAAACAAGCATGAATATATTATTTATTCTTCATCAGACATAAATGGAGAGCCACGCCACTTGAAACTCCGACAACAGTTACTTTAAGCAATACAAAGAAATTTTAGTTTTAACGGAACCAACTGTACCTGTTGTACACAGTGAACCCTACAGTGCTGGACACTAAACTGGTTCTGCGCACCCGCGCAACTACCCGAGATTTTTCTATCCTAATCTCATTCTTACACCTTAAACAAAATAAAAAACTAAAGGTTTTTTATGAGAACTTATGACGAGAAATCTAAAAAATGTTTAATTTCAGTATAATTGTATTTAAGGATTACCTAGTTCCTAATTTTAAATTAGGGAGAAATGTATCTAAGATGATTTCTCCTTGTCGTGCAACAAGTGTACTCCGAACTCCCAAGATGGCATTCTTCAGTTTTCCTGCCAAAGCAGAATTCACTTGTCCAGTCCTAGAACCTGAAGAGTAGCTAAAATAGGAGCAGATAAATAATAAATAAGACTTAGAGACAACATGCATTTAAGAATGAAATTTGAACAAAAATAAGAAAAAGAACTTTGCAAATCAATAATAAATACAATGTATAAAAAATGAATTAAATATGAATTACAAGAGCGCCAAAATTATCGTTATCATGCAGAAAGTCAATTGACGACTGGAGAAAATCGATTTGGATAAGAACAAGACCAACATAATCAAAATAAAGACAATGCTCAGAAATAAATTTAAAGAAAACATACATATAAATTAGGAATATATTTACTGAAGTGCAAAAAGACACAAATCAAGATTTGAAAATCTTTAAAAATTAGAGATCCTGCGGACAATTTTAAAATAAAAATTCTAAACAATTTTACCTGAGTATCTAGGACTGGAAGTATCAACTAGAAGAGATTTCAATGATATTCCCAAAAAACTTATAAAAAATAAAAATAAAAAGCTTTATTATTAAGAATTATAAATTGAACTTTTTTTGACAGTTGATATTTTACAATACATATGTAATTAGTTAAAGGCCTGCTATTTATAATGTTGGCTCATAATTTTGGTGGATTTTGCGTTTGATTTGGGTCGTAGAAAACTATCCGGTTCCGTTGAAAAAGTTCAAACAACTTTTAAACATGAAACAGTAAAATACCCTGGATTATTATTTCTCAAAGCAGATGTAAGAGCGGAGTTTATATTTTGTCCACCTATATCGGAACCCTAAACAACAACAAAAATATTAATATTTTTAATTTAAAGAAAAAAGGCATGATTCAAATTTGTTTTCTCTGTCCACAACTTTCTTTCAAAAAGTAGGACTAATACATCATAAATACTATTTTCTATTATATATCAGTTAAAATTACCCAAACAAATGACCATTTCGTTAAAATTTTAAAAAATTTGGTATTCTTACTCTCAACCAGAGTTTGGATTTTTAACTTTTCAGAGAAAATTCATAAACAATGACAAAGGGAATATTAAGACATTTATACAAAGACTTTTTAAAGATGGAATTTAAACATGGCATAGATAACAAAATTATTGATAAAAAATTTCATAAATTGGTTTACCTTAAACTGTATTGGTCCAAGGTTTAATAGTTTATATAGTTCTCCATCCCCTACTGTTTGTATTAACTGAATATTTTTATTGTTATTATTATTATTATTATGATTTGATAATTATTTATTTTTATTAATATTACTATTATTATTAGTATCATTACTGTCATCATTGTTATTGTTTCCATTCTTATCATTATCATTATCATAATTATCATAATTAAAATTGATGTTATTTTTTTTATCATCATCATTAACATAATTGATATTATTATTATTATTCTCATCATTAATATTATTATTATTTCATTATTATTTCTAATATTATCTTTATAACCTGTAATAAATTGACCCCTTCAGGGGACAGGTTCTGAAGGAACTCTAAGGTAGAAGTAAGAAGTTCAGTAACCTTTAACCAGATATAATAAACAGAGAGAAGCACTTTAACGTTTTTCTTGTAAGATGTGGTTCAACTTTGTCTATATGGTTCCACTACTAGCTTCTCTCCCTTGATTAAATCTAGTTCCTTGTCTAAAAGATCCTTCTTTGCTTCAATAAGTTCTCCAATACACTCGAATATTTCCTCTCCCATTCTAGATATTTACCCCACACACACTAAAAAAGTGTGAAACCTAAAAACCACAAAACAACTGAAAATCAAATCAAAAATAATTAAATTAATTGATTATTTTTTTTCTATTTTTCATATTTTTTTAATTTGTTTAGTAATTTTCTCACCTTCCCAAGTCTTTGCTTTCTTCTTCTATACGCATCGCTAGTTTGAGTTTAGCAGGAATGATTCTAAAAGAAATAAACAATGAAATCTAAATGTTTGATATTTTAAAAAACATTTTTATTTTGACTACAGTTACCTGGAGAGGCTAAAATGGTTCAAAACCAGATAAATGATGGGAAATAAATAAAAATACAAAATTATTAAGTAATTACTGGGAGTTTGCCTATCAAAAGTGATAACATTTTTTTGTTGAAAATTTGAAAAGAAATTAAAATGTTTGAATCTGGTTTTCCTGGAAGATTTAGCGACCAGAACCTCTGTAATTCTCATAATAGGATTCCCTTCCTGAAAACAAATATCAAAAAGTGGAAACTATAATTTATCCCAAAAAAACTAAGGAAAACAGTGACGACTTTTATATCGTTTTTGATCCACGAAGCATTTTTTCCGGAAGAAAAAAATATATAATATTCCGGTTAAAACAATCACTAACGGAATATCTTAATCTTGGGTTTTCAATAATGTGGTCTGCCATTATCTTACCTTCAAAACAGAAGGAAGTTTTAAGAAAACACGTGCTGGGCCGATTCTAAACTGTATAGCCAGACTGGACAGTGCGACTGAAAGCATATACAGTACCTGTTGTACCGGCACGGGAAATGAAAGCGCTGTGGTGTGACTATAAACTACCGGACTGACTTTAGTAAGCTAGACCGGAAAATTGTTCAGTATTCGTACGGACTATAGATGGTTAAAACGGGACAGTGCAACAAATACGGACTATAGATGGTTAAAACGGGACAGTGCAACAAATACGGACTATAGATGGTTAACACGGGACAGTGCAACAAATACGGACTATAGATGGTTAAAACGGGACAGTGCAACAAATACGGACAATAGATGGTTAACACGGGACAGTGCAACAAATACGGACTATAGATGGTTAACACGGGACAGTGCAACAAATACGGACTATAGATGGTTAACACGGGACAGTGCAACAAATACGGACTATAGATGGTTAACTCGGGACAGTGCAACAAATAAATCATCTCTTTCCAGTAAGAGTATTGCACACCCTAAACTAAGGTTTCGGTGCAGTAATATGACTGAATACATAGTGGGTTTTAGCGGAGAGTGATTGTTATTGGAAATCCAGTATTTTTTTAATACCTGGGAGAAAACTCCTAGAAACTTGTCCTGCATGCCTGCTATCGTCTCAACCACCTGAATATAGTTTAACAGACATATATAAACATATTTTTAAAGGAATTAAGTCATTGCCACAAACTCGGATTTTTAAATCTCAATTTCTTTAAAACCAAATGTCGTAGACCGTTGATATTTCAAACTATGATTTCTGGTGGATCATCTGGCTGTTGAGATTTCGGTATTATAAAATAGGGATTTGTGGCAAAAACTCACTTCCAAATATTGTAACCGCAATAAGTCTAAATTTTCAAGGTGTTTTCAAGTTTTAAAATCAATTGTATTTGCATATTAAGTAAATAATACACATATTTTGTTATTTTTTAAACCATTTTTTAGATATAATTCCGAAGCAATCTAAAAAGAAAAGCTATGAAACTGCACTTAAAGGGATTGTAAGCGTAATTTCAATTGGCCCTGCACTAAAAGAATGTAGAATATATTGTCACTTTTTATGTGTTTAATTCGGATAAATTTCACTTATATTTCTGCATGTGGAATGCGCAAGTCACTTTTATTTAAGAAATCACAAAATTATAAAAATTGACATCTTTTCCATTCTTGATCAAAGCAGACACAATCTTTTAAAGGTACCGTTGTGAATCGGAAATTGTCATCTTTGCACGGAACGGGTCACGATTAAATTAACGCTTACAAGTTTTACATTACAAGTTGTACACAATAGAAAATGTAACCTGGAAGAATTGGTTGATTATTGTAATTGCAGTCCCGGGGCCCTGAAATGGACAATGTTAAAAAAAGTATATTAGGAAAAAGTTTTAAAAATGGATCACATTGTAGCTAGAAGTTTGCAAAGCAGTTTTTCAGAAATCTTTATTCTGCCGGGCCATAGAAAGCGATGGGCAATAGCTAGATTCGTTTTACAGAAACTTTTAATATTTTTAGACTTTTGAAAAGTTTTACGACAATCTGAGAAGGGTCTAACGATTTAAAATTGAATTCTGTAGAAGTTTGCTTTCATCCAACATGGTATCCTAGTTGAAATATAATACAGATAAAATCAAACTTCTACAGAATAAAGTTTTAAAAAGTTGGAACCTTCTCATATTGTCGTAAAACCTTTTAGCAGCCTAAAAACATTAAAAGCTTCTGTAAACCCAATCTGGCTATTGCCTATCCCTAGCCATAGACCTTTCCTGTGGTTATATGAGTTACCACACAAAATTTGGAACTAATCGGTTTAGCCGTTTAAGTTTATTGAAAATTAACGAACACACAGACACAGACAAACAGACGTTTTACAAGTCAAATATATATAGACATAGAAGATGATATACATATGATAAAAATGATGATGATGATGATGATGATGATGNCAAAATTAACCTTATTATTTAATACTTGTTATGGTCAAATTGAAAAAAAAAATGAAATGAATAAAAGTATAAGAAGTCTTTAATTACCGAACAATTTAGCACAAAAAGGTTTTTCAGGCTAAAAGACAAAAGGCACTCATTTAGATTGTTATTATTAAAAAAGTATCGGTCGTCATTAAATATCATAGAATATTTGTATGTATGTGAATATGTTCATCGAATATTATGTAGGTAACCCTGTATGTGAATATGTTCATCGAATATTATGTGGGTAACCCTGTATGTGAATATGTTCATCGAATATTATGTGGGTAAGTCTGTATTTGAATATGTTCATCGAATATTATGTGGGTAAGTCTGTATGTGAATATGATCTTAAAGTGCGTACTAAACCTGGATCGATAAATGAATCAACGTAAACCGGAACTCAATTTTATTTTCCAATCAAGGAGCACACCATGGAAAATATGTAAGGTCTACGACATAGGGTTGCAAAAATATAAGGATTAGAAAACCAGGTTTGACACAAAACCTCAATTCTTTTATCACTTTAATTTAAGTATTACTAGATTGCTTCACCTGATCAAAGAGTTGAGAAAGTTTGTCGCCTCCATGAAAATATCAATTTCTGAATTCACAGCTCCGGTGATTAAAGAGAGGATATCCAACCGACCCCTTAATTAAAAAAGGGATTGTTCGCAAAAATCAGAGTTTTTCAAATTGTTTTTTTGTTGTATAGAGGGTTGTCTATCGAATTAGAGTAAGTGTAGCAATTTTGTTTACATCTCTGTATGCTGTTTGTCTATGTGTCTTCTGTTAAAAACACAAAAACTGAGTTTTTGCCACAAACCCTGATTTTTTAATCTTTATATCTTTGAGACACAATTTTGTAGACCATTGATATTTTAAACTATGAATACTGTTAGAATTAAGTAGTCTAAGTACAAAATTAAAAAGTTAACATTATCAGTTTTAATAGGGATTAGAAAATTCTAGTTGGTGGCAAAACTCAATTTCTTTGTTTCATTCATGCAAATCTTTGACTTATGATAAAAAATGTTACGTGTTCCTGAACACTTGCTTTACCATTAGATGATAAAACTAAATAAAAATTGTACGCACTTCTGCTTTATGATATTTGCAGAAATGTTTACTTAAATGCACTGAAAGGGAGTGACCGGCTATGTAAGGTAGTTGAACTAAGTATACAGTGTGATGGAAAGCTTCTTTCGGATTCATTTGAGACATATTAAACTTTTTAAAGATCTGTAAATCCTGAGTTTGAGCGCAAATTCGACGTTCAAAACTCCAAATTTGGGGGTGGATACGTTTTCAGAATTTGTTTTTTATTATTAAATAACGACGACATATAATGTAAAAAAGTTCAACAATAAACTACAGACGTCATGCATTGGAACATGTTGAGAAAATAAAAATTAATCTTATCATCGAAAATAAGTTATTTTGGTTTATTTATTAGTTTCTATTTTCTCATTATTCTGGTTTCTCATTATTCACAAAGATTTTCGCAGATTTTCTAAAATTATTATTGAAAAGACGAATTTGAAGAATTTAAAGAAATCTGCGAATAAATTCAAAGAAATTAAGAAATTCAATATCATAATGCAAACGAAATAATCGATTTTAGCATTGATTAATTGACAAATTTCTTTTGAGAAATATGTTCCTAACCATCTAATTAGATTACTGTATAATTTTTACTTTATTTTTACTTTATTGTGGTTATTTAATAATTTAAAAAAATACAGAGAGATTCTTTTAATTCCTCTCTATATATTCTATTCTCTATGCTTGTAATTCAATGAAGACTGCGCGTAACTCCTTTAGGCTTTTGTCTCAGGGTTATTGCGAACGAATAACCCTTAAATCATTAAAAGACGACAGTGCTCTATCTGCATTGTTATTAATCTATGAACGTTTCGCTGAAAATCTTCAAATATATCAAGATATGTATATTTCCATGTGACTCTTTTTACTGTGGATGCATTGCATATATGTATCTTTGAATGTTTGTCAAATACTAATTCTTAATAATTTATTCTCAAAAAGTTTAAATTTTTAAATATATCCACGAATATTAAAATGTGACGCTTTAAAGTACACGGTTTTACAGTGTATGCTTTGCATATATGTATCTTTGGATGTTTGTCAAGTTTTGGAGTGAAGGCTATTTACAAAGTTTAATCTGAGTGTACTTTTGGTTTAGATAAACCCTAAAGTTTGGCGCTAAAAAATCCGGTTCTTTCAATTGTCTCGTAACCATTTTCATGTACATGAAAGACGTTATTTTAAGAATTCTTGCTTTGATAGAATGGCATGTCCGATGTATAACTTATTTTCTCTAAGAAAAGTGACATACAGTTAAAGGTTTAAAAGGTGCCATTGTGAATCAGACATGTCCCTCCGTAAATAGAGGGTCACTAACAATTACAATTACAATGTGCTGTATGTAAAGTCCAACGTCTAATAGAGTGTTTTCGGCTATTTTTATTTTGTTCGTTCATCGTTTGTGAACGACCCATTTCGTTCGTTTTTCGATTAAAAACGAACGAAATAGATGGAAAATTTACGATAATTTAAAGAACCAACAAAATCAATTGTTTAAATCATTCGTTTTTTTCGTTAAACAATCCAAGTTGTAATCGTCCATCGTACGTTTTTTCTTCTGAACGTTGGTTTACGAAACATTTCATTCGTCTCATGAATTTTTTTTTGCAGTTGACAAAACGATGCCCATCTCTAACGTTAACAAGTCTGAAATAGTAATATATACTAAAGTAAAACAGGACTATACAAACTGTAACCCCAAAGAACGAACAAAGCACCTAAATAAATTAATTATGTCAACAAATTTAGTCGAAAACAATCATATATCGTAATCCAGCACTCCTTCAAACGAGGAACATCTAAAATTAAACTTATTAGACGTTAGACTAAATATAGAGCCAAGCAAAGAAACCATTTGGAATTTTTGTCCGTCATGTAATTTCTTTTATTAGCTGTTTTTATATTTAGCTCTATACTGGTGGGGACTGGGAGGAATTTAGTAAAAATTAAGTCAGTAATAAACAGCTGATTCTATCCTAGACAAGTTATATGAGGAAAGAGGCTCCACACCTGGCGTGGTAAATCTTAATAGCCTGGTTCAGCTATTGCTTCCGCTTAATTGGCAAACCCGTAAAAAATGGGGGGTACTTGCAGTTTTTAAACGTTTAAAACAAATAGCATGATAATAGTTCTATGTACTTTAGATAAATTGATAAATGCTTATAAGGCACATCAAATTAAAGTAAATTTTATTTTAGACTAAAATCTCCCATTTTTTCAATCAGGGGTATCTTTTGTTGAAATGCTATAAAAGAATTAAACGTAGCAATCTCCTTCTTCGGCGTAAAAACGAAACTAGGGAAGCTACATGGTTTTTCCAGTAATTTCGCATAAATAAGGGCTTTTTCAGTACAGGTTGGAGTACAGAGAGTCAAGGAAGATTAAAAATAGTTTGGTTTGATGAAATAAGGGATAGAAAATTGTTGAGAAACTAAACTTATTTAATCAGAAATTTATAAACATAAAGTTTAACTTTAATTTAGCCTTTCCCCACACGCGTTTGCGTTTTCCCGTGCCAGCATCTAAGTTCTCATTAAACAATTAATCTTCCGACATTAATTAATTTAACCAATAATTTATCTATTTCTCACCCTGTAGATAGATATTTTGTAGTAGAAAAAAATAATGCTTTTCAGGGACACCCTGTATTTTCTTTTTTAACCATAATGCAACTGCTCTGCGTAATTATACATCAAGGAGTTATTCGTTCTTGGTTTAATGTTTAGATGACCAAGTTTTTATAACTTAACATAGGAAGAGATTTTATGAAACTATTTTGAACTTTATCATGCTTACTCAATTCATTGTGAATTTCAAAATGAACGTGCTATAAAGGTAACTTAGCTGTATATTATAACACCGTGCTATAAAGTAATCATCGTGCTATATTGTTAAAGTAGCTGTACATTATAGCACGTGTGCTATAAAGTTTTGATTGGTTCCAGGATTTTCTCCAAAAATATTAGGACTTTTCCAAAAACAAATTTTTAATTTAAATGAAAATAAAAAGGAAACCAACTTCATATTTTGTCTTTTGCTTTATTTCATAAGCATATTTGGTCTAGTAATTGCCATTGAAATATGACAAGTACACAAACGTTTCATAAAATTACCTCTAGCACTATAATTATGATTCTGGGTGGGCTAAGTTTTTGCCATGATTTAAAGAGCAAATAGACAAGAATGCAAATCACTAAGTTGACTGTTGAAAAGGGTTTGAAGTATATTCTATTCTTTGTTAACAGCATGCGTCATATTTAACCTTTCATCCCTGGATTGGATTGGGGTCAGATATTTTGATATAGAGGCAGTTGTTATTCAATCTTACCTATTCATTTTTTTTGGTTATCCTTGGTGATAACAACCAATTAACTAGTTAGATAACAAGGACAGGAATCAGGGCAGGAACACAGGGACAGGAAGCAGGGCAGGAACCCAGGGACAGGAAGCAGGGCAGAAATACAAGCATAGGAAGTAGAGCAGGAATACAAGGATAGGAAGCAAAGCAGGAACACAGGGACAGGAAGCAGGGCAGAAATACAAGGGCAGGACTACAAGGACAGGACGCAGGGCAGGAACACAGTGACAAAACCTTTTAGCA